GGGGACAGGGCAGTAGCCCAAGTCCTCTGAGCTAGCCTGCCCTGTGTATCTTAACAGTGAGCACCTGGGCAGCAAACCGAGCAGGTGCACAAGTCACCTGGCCACAGTCTTCCACACTAGGGTGAGATGTGCTGAATTTCTGTTTAAATTACAGCAATTGTTTCTCAACATCTCTCCCTCTCCTTCTTGCTCCCTGTGCATTAGCATCGGCACACACAAATTTTATGCAAATCTGTATCTTCTTTTGTCCACTTGTCCAGCCTACCCAGATTGAGGTATGTTTCCAATATGTGGCTAGCAGCTGCTCCACAAGGATGCAATTTGGAGCAGGGCCACAGTGTGTGTGTGGGGGGGGGGGAAGGTTAGCACCCCATTCCCAATCAAATCAGAGCCACTGTCCTCCAAAGGCAACATTTTAAAGAAGAAAATTACAGAGAGACCCAATCACATGCCTACGTGGCTTTTTCAATGGTTCTCAACCGACATTTCCCAAATGGTAATGTGAAGAATTTCAGTGTGCATCAAACTGTTTTATAGAGCTAGGAAAGAACTGAGAATGTGTTAACATTTTTGACTTTTTCTTGCCTCGCTTTCCCAGCCCCTCTGGAGTCCCACTGGCTTGGACTTACTTCTTGGTAAATAGGATCAGGACTCACAGAAAATGCATTGTGTAATCCCGTGAACCCAAAACAAACAATGTTGCTTTCACCATGTCTCACAAGATCCCGATTCATTTTTTTTACCCAAAGACGTGATATTTTAGCAAACACGGACCTTTGACCTGAAAGCCTTCAGCCTAGCTGTGGGTGACCCCCCAATAACAAGGCGATATATTTTCCCGGCCCTTCCCCAAACTGCCTGTTCCACTTTCCCCTATTTATTTACTCACCGCTGCTTCCCCTCAGGTTAGTAGTTTGCCATGTCCATTTAAAACATTTTAGATGCCTGCCCACCCCCCGCTCTCTCTCGTTCTGCCCCCTCCCCGCCCTGCCAGCTTGTGTTATACATACAAAATACAATTCTGATTCTCGTAGGGCAGCAGGTAACCATTATAAGTAGAAGTATCCAAATTAAATGCAGGCATGTTTCAACATGGGAACACATTCTGCTTCTAAAGGTGAAAGATCAGCTTTATTAGCTAAGCCACCCACCTCCTGAAGAATATTACATGAATTAAAACCAGACTTCCTGATGTTATATATGTGGTTCCTGTCAGCAGCATAAATTACACTCCAAGAGATTTCACTTGCATCTTTGTAAAAGCTGAAATCCTTAAAATATTTTTGGGCCGACTGGTGCTCTAAAGGGTCCCTAAAGTTTGTCTAATTAGCAGGGACGTATCTCCCCTTGGCTACATGTGGACTTAATCATTTTCAGCTAAAGCTGTCCCTTAAGGGCATACAGTAATAGCCAGGGATTTACTATATATTTACGATATTTGCTGATGAAAGCAAATGCATCGCTGTAAAACAAAAGGGAACCTCCCCCTTAACGTTCTAAAATGAGATTTCCTCCAAAACGAGAGCCATCTCCAAAACCTACTGATAACGATAAGAGATTTTTATTGGGTGGAGTTAAAACGTAAATTACTGTCTCTTGAAGTTTATAGGGGTCAGGCAACTCAGATGGTTTACATGCCTAATCCATGTCATCTACCTCAGGGGCAAGCTGACTCCTGGCTCTGTCTGTCATTGGCTCTGGCTCCACCTACTGTTTGGGCTCCTTGTCTTCAGCCCAATGGGCACCAGACAGCATGTTCTCAGGTCATTCTGAGCCTAGGAATTTATTTCCAGTACCAGAACAGAACTGAGCTTGCAGGCCCTTTTCACACTCCTGGCAAGTTTGCTTCATTCAGCAGCCTAATTTTGGTGAAAACATGTCAATTTTGTTACTGCAATTTGTTAAACAGATAGGAGCCATGAATCCTAGCTAATATGCTACAAATCACCCAGAGATCTACTAGTATTTATTATTATTATTATTATTATTATTATTATTATTATTATTAAATTTGTATATCGCCCTATACCCGTAGACCCCAGGGCGGTTCACAACTAGTAGATCCCTATCTACTGTCAGTCTACTCCGATCTACCCAATGCATGCAAAAGCAAATCTCAGGTGTGACAAAAAGCCAGGATGGGAAAAGTGAAGGTTAGTTTAGAGTGGAGAAGGTTTTTCTACTTTGCAGGGTAGGGAACGTTAGCCGTTAATACAATTTCTTAAATATAATGACACCACTAATTTCATTTTGAGCATGTTAATTCAAATATGCACTAATATCTACTTATTAACCATCTACCCTCCTGGCAATAAAGACAAGAGAAGATAAACTGATGTATTCATTCACACTTTCAGATCCACACAGGGTGGTGATTGTCCTTGATTTACTAAGTGTTAAGCAAAAAAAAAAAAGCTGTTCAGGAGATAGAAGCCTAAGGAACTCAGCAAATGTCAGGAGTCCACTCCCCGGCTTGATCACACAGTAAGCGCAGTTAATTAAAAAGGATGATTTATTGTCAAAACAGCAGATAGCTCCGGACAGCTCTAACACAGCCTCCCAGCATCATCAATCACGATGACCCTTCTGAAGACTACTTCCAGTTACAGAAGATATTGAAATTTCTCACTTTGCGTTTCTTGCTTTGTTTCTGGTCCAACAGCCCTCCCCTTAGTCGACTCTTAGGAGGGATTGGATCAGCTCCAATCTCTTCCCGTTCTGAGAAACTGCTTCCTTCTCTGTTTGTGCCAGTTTGCACTTCCCGAGAGCTGGGTTGGCTGGGTTCTGGCCTGCTCTCAGCCATTCCCTTATCAACTGGCATTCCAAGGGGCAGGGGAGTTGGCACTAGCCGATGCTCATCCAGCCTGGCAGTTAACCCTCTCTGTTCCTGGCTGCTTTCTTCAGTTGGCTGCAAACCTTCACTGGGAGCTGGCTCGTTCACAACAGCAAATATAATCGATAAATTCTGAAGCTGTTCTCTAAATCAGGGATGGGGAACCCGTGTCCGCTAGATGTTAGAATAAAACCCTCATCATCCTTGACCACTGGTCATGTTGGCTGGGGTTATGGGTGTTATTGTCCAACACCTGTATGGCCACAAGTTCCCCTTCCCTCTTGTAAGATGTGGGGGCATTCCACATGACCTTACCACGTTTCTCATCCTAATCTGCTTCTAGCAGAAGGTTAGGAGAAGTGGAGGGCTGTAACACAGAAGTTTTGAGTGCTGTGCATGCATGTGGGCTAGTGCAACTCCTTATGGCATGTTGTGAACAGGTAGGTGTCTGCCTTTGGTTGTCAGTGGAGGCTAACCCACATGGGTTCTTTCAGCAGGGGAATCCCCCTAATGCCCCCATGCTCATCATTACATCATCCCTGATTAACTAGGATCATTTACATGACCTGTCCGGGAAAAATTGCCCTGATTCTAAATCAGCTTTGTTTGCTCTCAATGGCATCAGCAATTCTCTACATGCCCATTGCTGTGTAGGATCATCACATTGTTGTGTCCATTATGTGATCCCTATCTGGCTGTGATCTAGAAAGTAGAAAGAAGCTCTGAAAGGTGGGGAGACTCTGAATTAGTAGCAGGTAGGGAAAATTGTAGGGACGTGGGTGGAGCTGTGGGTTAAATCACAGAGCCTAGGAGTTGCCGATCAGAAGGTCAGCAGTTCGAATCCCCGCGACAGGGTGAGATCCCGTTGCTCGGTCCCTGCTCCTGCCAACCTAGCAGTTCGAAAGCACATCAAAGTGCAAGTAGATAAATAGGTACTGCTCCGGCAGGAAGGTAAACAGTGTTTCTGTGCGCTGCTCTGGTTCACCAGAAGCGGCTTAGTCATGCTGGCCACATGACCCAGAAGCCGTACTCTGGCTACCTTGGCCAGTAAAGCGAGATGAGCGCTGCAACCCCAGAGTCGGCCACGACTGGGCCTAATGGTCAGGAGTCCCTTTACCTTTACCTTACTAGGGAAAATTGGTGGCAGTGAAGATTCTCTCTAATTTGACATTTTTGGGTGGGAATGTTTCTGTCTCCATGAAAATACTACTTTCACCCCAAAAGAGAACCAGGAAAGCATTTAGTGCAGCTCCAGATTGAACATGGTGCCATCGAAAACACATTTCCCCCCAAGGTTGCAGTCTAAACATGAAGTGCTGACATGATTGGCTCTTTGGGGCAACAAACAGTCAAAAACTCTTAACATAAAGAAACTCTTATGAGAGCTACCGCATTGTGTCCACATCACACCCCTCTGGCTCTGTTCGTGGTGTAGCTAAGGGCTCCGTACAACTTCTCCTGGCACCACACTGTCCCCCAAGAAGACTAGGCTGCCTTTAAGGAGGAATTCAGGGAACTCTCTGATAAGCGACCAATTACCCAAAGACAGTGTCTTCATTTGTGAGGAGGAAGGAACCCTCCTTTGTGCCCGTCATGTGAACAAATAAAGCATTTGTTGGAGTTGTGCCGCCGTATTTCTCTTTCTTCTCCACCATGGCTGGCTTTTCTTACAATCATTCCATTTAAATGGAATGTTTCATAACCCTTCTCTCTTTCTTTAAATTTGATTTTCTAAGAAAATATAGCGTTTCCAAGTTTGTGCTAGGTCAGGAGTGATTGGCAGAAGGCCCCGCGTTCATTTCGTAGGGTACGTGGCTTCATCCGTATGACGTCAGCGTCGACAGCTGCAGTCCTGTTGTCCTGAAAGACGCATGTGGGAGAGAAGCCAGTGGGAAGGAAGTTGACTAGGATCCCATTTAAAATGAAAGGGATTGTTAGAGAGGTCAGGTTTCCAGGGCCAAACGACATGTTATATTGTGCTTACAAGCATGAACTCACTATCTTTAGGAAAATAAGCTGCTGGGGGCGGGTATTTCTCTCAGGAGTCTTGACATGGTAGGAGAGGTATCTTAGCCATTTCCCCACTCTAGCCCCACAATTGTCCGCACCAAGGTGCTGCTGCCCCCAAGCTATTTGCTGCAAAGAGCACTTTATTATTTTTTTTAATGATATTTATTGAAATTTCATAAAAAAAAGAATTACACAAAAACAAGAAGTAAAAATACAAGAAAAATACAAAATACAAAATACAGAATAAAAGAATAAAAAACACTTAAAAAGAAAAAAAAAGAAAAATAGATCAATTTTTCCATAGCTTACATTCATATCCTTGTTTCCCTGACCTCCTCATACCTCCCTTTTTTTGTATTCCAGTTCAATTAGTTAAGTCAGCAATTTCTTTCCCTCTTTATTTTCTCATGATCCTTTAACTTAATATACTATAACTTTAAATTTTCACCTATTATCAATCCTTTTTTACATACACCTTTATAGCATTACTGCTTAAACCACCTAATTTCAGTCTAACATCATTCTAACATTCATTAATTTTACAATATTTCTGTAAATAGTCTTTAAATTTCTTCCAATCTTCTTCCACCGACTCTTCTCCCAGGTCTCGGATTCTGCCAGTCATTTCCGCCAATTCCATATAGTCCATCACCTTCATCTGCCATTCTTCCAGAGTGGGTAGGTCTTGTGTCTTCCAGTACTTTGCAATAAGTATTCTTGCTGCTGTTGTGGCATACATAAAGAAAGTTCTATCCTTCTTTAACACCAATTGGCCGACCATGCCCAGGAGAAAGGCCTCTGGTTTCTTCAGAAAGGTATATTTAAATACCTTTTTCATTTCATTATAGATCATCTCCCAGAAAACCTTAATCCTTGGGCATGTCCACCAAAGGTGAAAGAATGTACCTTCAGTTTCTTTACATTTCCAACATTTGTTATCAGGCAAATGATAGATTTTTGCAAGCTTGACTGGGGTCATGTACCACCTGTATATCATTTTCATAATATTCTCTCTTAAGGCATTGCATGCCGTAAACTTCATACCTGTGGTCCATAACTGTTCCCAGTCAGCCATCATTATGTTATGTCCAACATCTTGTGCCCATTTAATCATAGCAGATTTCACCGTTTCATCCTGAGTATTCCATGCAAAGAGCACTTTAAGGACAAGCAGCAGCTTATAGGAGATTGTTTTTGAATGGCAAATGGGGCAGGGAGGAAGAGCTATGTAGACCAGGGATGGAAAACTTCAGAGAAATGTGGCCTCCAGTTCTCTCTGTCTGACCCTTGGGGTCAGATACATGAAGCTGGTGGCTATCAAAAAGACCTGAGGTCCAAAATTCACATCACAATAAACTGATGGGTCACGGTGCCAAGTAAATTCAGACTTCAGGGCCATCGTGCTGTCTCTAAGAGCTGGTTATTACTTTTTTGACTAAAGGGGATGTGGGGAGCCCAGAAACAAATGCTTCTTTTGGGACCAAACGGATAGCATAAAGCACATTAGGCAGCAGTGAAAATAACTTATCAGACTGACTTAGCTGAAGTTACTGCAGGGGACGCTTTTGCAAAACTCTCTTTGTTCTCAACTGACAGTTCCTTTGCACCGAGTGAAGATCAGAGGTCAGCACTGACAATGAAGCACTTGCACTCAAGGTACGGGGCCTGCCTTGTAACTGAGATGGATGGAGAGCCACCACAGATGCTATCCGGATGCAGAGGCTGATGTTCTGGGATGGTAGGAGCTACAGGTAATATACCGGAAGTAGCCGTAGGAGCCAGCAGGGTGGCTGAGGTGGGGCAGCATTGCTCAGCTGGTTTCATGCAGGTCACCTGGTCACTCATTCATTTTATTCCATTTTGAGCCTGCAATTGATCAATATAATCGTCCCAAGTCAAAATAAGACCTTAAAACAGAAGAAATAAAGTAACAATTAAAAGATCAAGCACAGATATTTATGAGAATATAACAGTATAGCTGTTGAAAGCCCATCATTTCCAGCAGGCTACGCATTCCATTCCCTTCGAAGGTCCAGGCCAAGAAGTGAGTCTTCAGCTGGCACTGTAAAATATACAACATCAGCCCTATTCCTACCTCAGAGGGGACAGAGTTCCATAACTGAGGTGCCACCACAGAGAAGCCCCTGATCCCATCTCACTGTGCAGTGAGCTTCACTGTGGGGTGATACATTGCATTTCCACATAAAGGACAGTCACCATTTCTCAGTGTGTGTTTCTATATGTGAAGTAGCCCTTGCAAATCGTATGCAGATCCTCACCCGCTTTTGTCCTCTTTCTTGACTATGCATAAGTGGCCACCCAAATTTATTGTAAAATGCAGTTCTACCCTCAGAGTGCTGAAATGAGGGCTTGCAAGACAGCGGCAAAGACTGCACAAGAACTGGTGCCAGAGCTAAAATCTGGGGCAAAGGGACGAGATGTTTCCTCCCACTCGGAGTGGTTCATATGCCAAAAGCTGTGAGCCGCTGCCTCGGCTCTGAGTGGGCTGCGAGATCAAAAGATCCCAGGCTTCTCATTGTTCTTAGCCGTGCCAAAGTTCCCCGACATTCCTTAACTCAAAGCAGGCTTTTTACTAACTACTGTACTCACATCTTTACAAGCTGCTACGATGTTGGGATTTTCTAAATCAAAGCGATACACTGAACTGAATTAAGAGAAGAAAAATATTGCTGTCTGGGTTAAGTAAGCAGAGGATCACGGTTGTGAGTCCCAAACATACACTAGAGCTTTGACGGAGATATTCTCCCTCTTTAATATATAGAGCGAGAGAGAGAGAGAGAGAAACAGAGAGAAAGCATGTTTGTATTTAATTTTATTGGAGTAGAAAAGCTTTCTGCATTGAGGGAAGTAATTACTGCATAAAATATCAGTGGAGAGGTTGCAATGGTCAGCTGTCAAGCTAGAAAGGTGAAAATGTTCCTTTCAGATTCAAATGTTTATTTATTAAGGGAACTTCAATGCAACTGCTTGACGTTGGTCCCTTTTGAAGTTTGGGTCATTTGGGGGTTTTGCTCTCTCTTCCAAACAGCTACTTTATATTAGCATTTTTTTTAATTTTTACTTTGAACTCTACTTTGATGGATAAAGTGCTGTCCAGCTTTAACTTCCAGCCCCATGTTAGATCCAAACTAACTTGAATTCACCTTCAAATGCAAAAGAAATATGGTTAACTACAGCTAGTTTGGCATTATGACGGGCAAGAAAGGGTTGCTGATGTTCTGTTATTCCTAAAAAAAAGCGGGAATAATTAATGGTGTGCATCCTGAATAAAATATTGCTTTACTTACATTAATTCTCTGACCTGGATGTGTGGGGTTTTTTTGGGGGGGGGGGACCTTATCATCAAAGGCTTTGGGTCAGGGCAGGTAAAACTACAATGGTACCTTGAGTTAAGTACTTAATTCGTTCCGGAGGTCCGTTCTTAACCTGAAACTGTTCTTAACCTGAAGCACCACTTTAGCTGATGCGGCCTCCCACTGCTGCACAATTTCCCGCCGGAGCACAATTTCTGTTCTCATCCTGAAGCAAAGTTCTTAACCTGAGGTACTATTTTTGGGTTAGCGGAGTCTGTAACCTGAAGCGTATGTAACCTGAAGCGTATGTAACCCAAGGTACCACTGTACTTGGAATCAGCAATCAAACAAGGAAACCTAACCAATGAAAGAACTCTCTGCAAATCCCTGGTTCTATAAAACATTTGTCTGAACAAAAATCTGCTACATCGCCTTCTCAACATACTTCAAGAATGTGTTCACACAAATATACCAGCACACAGAAGCTACCATTCAACACACACAAACAGATGATCGTGTAAAAGCTCTGGCACATGCCAGATCCAGAACTTAGCTCATTACAATCCAGATTGACGCAGGGAGTTGGTTCATATTTTCCAAGCTCAGCCCTCATTCCCTTCACACATACTTAGAGACAACGTGGAAGCCATTTTCTTGTGGTGTAACCCAACTTGGCTGAGATATAGATGTGAATACCATGACCATGAATCTGCTCATCCAACCACAGAGGGCAATGATTGGGTGGGTAAGTCTTATGCAGCAGCTTAGCCAATGAGGTATTCACATACATATGGCAGTCATGTGGGAGATTACCACCTACCTGAATGTGTGTGAAGGGATCCCTAGTTTGTAAATGCTGACATTTAATTGTACAAGATCTCAGCTAGGACACCGTTGTAAACATGAGTTAATGTGGCCATCCTGGATCACAAATACAACTTAGAGCAGGGACAACCACTGCGATAACTTCCAGTTGTTCTTGGACTACAGCTCCCATCAGGCCCAGCCAGCATGGCTAATTTTCAGGGATTATGGGAGTTGACAGGATCTAGAGGGTGCCATGGTGTCCCTGAGCTAGAGCATCTCTTTCTTACATTGTCCAAGAAAGTAAGGGGAAGGAGTTCAGCTGCCAGCTCCAGCCCAGTGCCTTGTTCCTCCCTATGAACAGCTGAATCAATTATGGAAACTAAGCAAATATATGAAACTCTCCCCAGCTTTATTACATCAGAGGAGAGAAATAAATAAATTTAGAGACAGCAATTAGCACGCTGCAGTAACAGTAAATCAAAAAACCCAACAAACAGCACTTAGTCCCCTCTTCAAATTTGTAGGATGAGGAATGGAATAAACAATGTCAGAATAATCTAATTTTGGACAAAGCAATTGAATTACAATCCTTTCTTGTACACAATGTCAAAAAATATTTTTAAACACAAAAACAAAAGAAAGAAACCCATATGGGGAGATTTGAGAGATGTTTCTAACAAAATCAGTTTCATATCACGTACTTCTCCAGCATCTTTAAAGCCCCCTGGAAATAACTGCTGTTTTCCTTTTGGGTTTCTGGGACAGAATAGGGAGAAATTCAATTTGGTTCATGTTTTAATGTGAATCTCTACCTTTATTTGCCTTCTTGAAACAATATGCAAACAAACAAAAACCTGCTTTCCTTCAAATTGGGCACTTTTCTGAATTGTGTGAGTTGTCCAAACAAAGAATGGAAATGAGTGTTTTTGTTTGTTTGTTTGTTACTTGCCCTTCACTGTGAGGTCCCCTGCTGGAGTTACAGCATTAAAACACAATATTTAGAACAATTATTATTATTATTTGATTCTTTTTGGAAACTTCTTTGGTTTTTTGGTGTGTGTTTTTACAATCAAGCAGTATATAAATCTTATGAAATAAACAAATAAATAGAAACCACTTACAACCAAAAATAAATAAATAAGGTGGTTTCTAAAAACATACACATCAGGTGTCAAAAGTGTCAATGTGCATTAAAATATACACATATATGGGAAAACAACACACAAAGATGCATTATATTAATGAAATTTGTTAGCAAAAATGTGTGTGTGTGTGTGTGTGTGTGTGTGTTTGTCTTTGTGTGCCTCCTCCATGAGAGCTCCAGAGCGTGGTAACACGTGAACGGGCCTTTTCTGTGGTGGCTCCCCATTTGTAGAATACTCTCCCCAGGAAGGTTCGCCTAGCACCTTCATGCATATCTTTAGGCACTAGACAAAAACATTCCTCTTCTTTCAGGCCTTTGGCTAATCTGTGGCTTTTTAAACTGGGTGTGGGGGTATCATTTTTGCTTGTTACTGTGTTATGTATTTTGTGTTTTTAAACTGAAAACCACCCTGTGATCCCCAGATGAGGGGCAGTATGGAAATTTGATAAAGAATCATAATTGCAAACTTATATGGAAATGTGGCAAAATGAATTTGAGATGGGAAAAGCCAGAAACTGAAAGTGACCCATTTGTCCAACTCTACCTATAAATATCTTCCTTGTTTCTTCATATCGATATCTTGAGATGAAACAGGCCACCCAAGTCAAGTGCCAGCAGTCCAATTATGCTTTCGAGAATGAGCGTGGGAAACAAGATAATCAAATAATCCCTTTTGCCTCCATCATTGTTCTTACTGCTGAACGTTTGTCCTCTGTTGATTTTTCGAGTGAGGTTTCTTGCAGGATGTGTACCTACAGAAATGAACGAGAAATGTTTTAAATCAGAGCTGGAAAACCCATGGCTCCTCCAGACATTTCTGAACTCCAGCTCCCTTCGGCCTCATCTCAGTGTGGCCAACGGTCAGGATGGTGGGAGTTGAAGTCTAATAGCATCTGGAAGACTACAAGGTCTCCAACCCTTCACTAAATTAAGGAACCCCGTTTTTTCCTGGCCTTAAACAGACTTCAATTTGGCTGCAGTTTTTACACCCAGGAAAGTCATCACTCAGGTGCAGTTGCCTCCCCACCCCAGTTCTCAAATCAACATATTTTGACTAAATTCTTGATGTTTGTTTATATATATAAATCATATGGGAAAGCAGGTAAACCAATGAACCCTGGTGTATGACCATCAATGTTTATGAAAGCAGGGGGAATCACCCTGGAGCTACTTATGCTCATTGGGGCTTCCATTAGTAATTTGGGGGGCATGCACTTGTGGGAGCGAAAATGGAACACCCTGGGATCCAGACAGGAGCTGGGGTGGCTTTTGGAATTCCGGGATGTCCCACTTAAAGTGGGGCAGTTGAGGGGTGTGCCTTCCTTGCTGTCAGATACTTAGTTGACTCCAGTGCTTTTTTTCTTTAAAAAAAAATGTTTAGGGGTACTCTCATTTTGATTCCAGAAAATCACCATTTTATAGTTCAAATTGGGAAAAATACCGTATTTTTCGCTCTATAAGATGCACCAGACCACAAGACGCACCTAGTTTTTGGAGGAGGAAAACAAGAAAAAAAATATTCTGAATCTCAGAAGCCAGAACAGTAAGAGGGATCGCTGTGCAGTGAAAGCAGCAATCCCTCTTGCTGTTCTGGCTTCTGGGATAGCTGCGCAGCCTGCATTTGCTCCATAAGACGCACACACATTTCCCCTTACTTTTTAGGAAGGAAAAAGTGAGTCTTATAGAGCAAAAAATATGGTAAATACAGGAAATGGACAAAAGTACAAAGATTCACAAAATGCTTAGGGGTATGTGTATACCCAGAAAAAAGCACTGGTTCTCTTCTCTTGCTTTCTTATAAATATGAGCTCAGCTTAAAATCTTCTTCATTATGACCTTCTGAACTGGATTCATTTTGATTTAGTGCACATCACCCAAGCAGGACAACTTCTGGCTGCAAGACACTGTTTCATCGGTTCCTGGATCCAAAAGTAGAGTGGGACGGGATGGATCCATACTGTTGATAACCTGTATGCTGGTTGTTAATCAAGGGAAAGTGATGATGGCGGGAGCTCTCTTTTAGTAAAGAGAATGATATGCATATGAGGAGTAAACTGAGCTAGATTTTAGCATCATCATCATCATCATATATCATTATACATTCAACACCAATCCCTTACAAAATAGGCCAGTGTGGACATGACCCTCATATCCACCAAAGACATTCCAAGCAATGCACATTCCCTTGTCATGCAGATTTTGATACAAACCAATCTGCAGGTCCGCACAACACACCCAAAGACAGTCCCAGAGTTGCTAATGGAGTGTTCTTTGTTTTCCCCTAATATCTTAAGCACTCAATCCCAGGCCGCATTACATTGTCCGTGAACCTTGTGGTTACAAGCCAAAGGAAGCCTGCATGATATTTAGTGCTCTTGTCTGGGAGCTGATAAGAGAGTCTGGATTGTCTAAACTCTTTAAGTGCTAAATGTCAGATTGGAATTTGGGTAACCGTAGCTGAACAATGTGTGTTATTTAAAAATGCCTACTTAGTCCACTTAGGAGCCTCTTAGATCTAATGCTAGAGTATTTGAACAGGGTAATAGGCTGCTTTTAGAAATCAACTTTTGCAATTTAATAATCTCTGTACTACTATTTGCAGTAGATTATATCTACTAGGTGGAGAGATAAAATGGGACAGCATCCAAACAAGCTAAAAAGGGGGGGGGGCTTTTAAACGGTACCCCTATTTAAATGTCAACGCAGCACAAGGCGTATTTTTGTACAGTGCCCTCTCTCTGAACTCCCTGCAGAGAATTTCAAATATGCTAATATGCAGTCAGAAGGGAAATGCCTCATGCTGTTTAGGACACCCAATCCGGGATTGTCACAATTCCTTGGAACGTTTTCAGCCGTTCTTCCCTGGAGAATGTCAACAGAGTGTTTGGCGTGTGTTTGGCAATGTTTAAAAGATCCTTGCCCATCGTGCTTGGACATAGGAGCCAACTCCTGGGGCCGAGGGGGCTTTGCCTCCCCCCAATAAAATATTTGAGGGAGACACCCCCTCAAAGTTGATGGACATTGCCATTCAGCATCATCTATACCAGTGATGGCCAAACCTGGCCCTCCAGCTGTTTTGGACTACAATTCCCATCATCCCTGGCCACTGGTCCTGTTAGCTAGGGATGATGGGAGTTGTAGTCCCAAAACACTAACTGGCAGCAGCTCTCCAGAATTTCAGCCAGGAAGCGCTCTGAATTGAAGGCCCCAGGATTGAACCTGAGACCTTCTAGGCAGATGCTCTACTGTGGAGCTATGGTTTAATTGTTTCAACCCCACAATATTCATGGGCTTGCTTTACTGTATATTTTCATTGTGAAAGAGCAACACCACCAGCGGCATCTGAATATGTGAGTGTTTTCATTCACATGCAGAAGGCTCATTCT